AGTATTCTTCGAAATGTGTACCCATCTTTTCCTGATTCCCTCAAATGCTAACTCCACGGGAACGTTTGTGAATAACGAGGTAACGTCTAATGAAGCTAACATATAACCCGGCTCAAAAAATGTCCCATTAAGTTTGTCGACTAAATGAAAACCATTTTCCACACGGCTAAATGTCTTAGGTATATACTATTATGAATTATCTTATGGAGAAATAACGACAGTCGATATAATGGGCTGTTTATACACGATACAATCACCCTTAAAAGATTTCCTGGTTTGTGTATTTTAAGAAAACCATACGCTCTCAGTGTATTACCATCCATAATGGTAACATTTTCTTTTCTTTGTTCTATCCCCTCTACTGTCGGGTTTTAACTCTGCGGCACATGACTAAGCCGCTGTTCATTGTCTTGTTGTCGTCCGTACGGTTCACATCTTTCCGCAAATGGAGCTTGATGTCAATGTGCTTGTTATGTACGGTATCTTCTTGATACATTCAATCGACTTATGTATAATATTTTTATTTCTGACCAAACCATGATATTATGTGACTAAACATCCATTTTGAAGGTATTTTTATTTTTTATTTTTTATTTTTTGTTTAAGATTTATTTTAAATTTTATATGCCATTTACTTCTGACGTTGCCGTTATATTGACTTTTCACGATTTGCACTTTCATTAAAGTTTGTTTTTGTGTTGCCACATTGTGAATTTATTTAGATAATAAGTTTTAATTTTTATCTCTTATTTTTATGCTTTCGGTATTTTATTACATTGTGAATTTTTAACTTAACTGTTTAAATTGTTACATTTTGTACGTGTTTTTGTTGGTTTGGTTAGAATTTATCTTGACGCATTAGGAGGCTTTTAACGTCTGACTGCTTACGTGTTTGAACCAAGTTATGAGGATTACTGACATTACTATATAAGTACTTGGACTTGCTTTAAGATTTTTGCGTCTCTAACCGGATTGCGTAGATCAATTACAATGTGATCGAAGGACTACGACCATTAAGAGCAATTTATATGATCATCTATGAACAACGGTGAAGATGGAGGATTATTGAATTGAGCATGTATCTGACTTTAGTGGCTTTTATTATATTTGCTTAACTCTTTACCATTTATATTATTAATACACGTGCGATTTTATTTGTCTTCCGATTTTAGTTTTAGACTTTGAAAATAACCGAAATACGGTTGAAACGATCGTTAGGTATTTTTGTTAGGCATTATTGTTAGTATTAATTTTGAAAAATATTTATTTTGCTAGCTACCACATGTTTTTATTTTAAGCTTTTACTTACTTTATGTTTCTTGGCTCGTAGCTGTTCTTATTTTTAATTGTTGTTATTTATATTGAGCCATTCTTCATTACATATATATACAATTAATGTAAAAAATATTAATTTCTAATAAAAACGATATATATTTTTACCTAAATAGAACAAATGTTAAATTGTAAACGCCATTATTTTTAAGTACGCAAATATTTGCGGACATCTACATTCAATATTTTAGCATTTATCTTATTCATGGAAATTAAAACTCAAATAACTGTTAAGTTTATATACTCAATTTTCAAGACACTCAAAGGTTTAGGGTTTACGCTCATTTATTGTGTTATACCCAAGTGTTGAGGGTAACCTTTAGATGTTTAGTGTGTAAACTCAAACTTGAGTATGAACGTTGTGAACGCTCAATCTTTGAGTGTATATACTCAATGTTTGAGTGTAAACACTCAAAATTTAAGTGTAAACACACAAATTTCAGAGTAAACTACCAAAATTTAGGGTTTACACTCAAATTTGAGTATGAACACTGAAATTTTCAGAGTTTTTTCCGTAAGGGAGACCACCATCTCTGAACGCCTATAGTAAGCGGTTATGATAGGTTACAATGATTATCAAAGTGATGCAGAATCGTCTTATACACGGTGAAATAAAAAAAATGTATTTGTGCGCAGTGGAAAATTCGTAAGATATCCGTCGAATACCATAAAATATATCGTGGTAAGTAATAATAAAGTAAACGCTAATTTGTTTAAAAAAATTTATATTTTCAAAAATAACATGTTTATTATTATTAAAAATTCAGAAATTAAAAGTAATAATGTACCATAATAATATTCTAGCGAGCCTGTGATTTCAGTGTTATTATCAAAGTTTGATTATCAATAAAGATGATAATTGCAGAGAAAAAAATTGTGATTTTTTTGCAATATACGATATTACAGCTTTACAAGTATGTATATTTATTTATAGGACATTTATGTAAAAAAAATCATGAATTTAATAATGCATGAGCCAAATATTTATGTTAATAATAGCAAATTGATATCAATTGTCAGTAATGTCAGCGTTCTTGAATTACCTTTGGGCACTGGGGCCCTTTTTATACCGCCAAAAATTTGCCCAGGGTTGACGGTCTTTAACAATATCTCGTCGGTGGTAATATTCTTCGCAATAATTGGCATATTATATATTTATTATTTTATTTTTATATTATTTTATAGTAAAGTGTTCTTCCACTTGCCTTGATATTACAGGCTCGCTGGAATAATATTATGTTATATTATTACTTTTAAATTTTGAATTTTTAATAATAATAAACATGTTATTTTTGAAAATATATAAATAAATTTATAAAACAAATTTAGCGTTTACTTTATTATTACTTACCACGATATATTTTATGATATTCGAAGGGTAAGAATTTTTAATTTTTCGCTGCGCACAAATACATTTTTTTATTTCACCGTGTACAAGCCCAGGTAGCAAGCTACGTCATTTTGACGTCATTTTGACTCAGCTTGCTACCAGGGAGACGATTCTGCATCACTTTGACAGTCATCGTAACCTATCATAACCGCTGGCTATAGGCATTCAGAGATGATGGCTGCTCTGTCAGAATTTTTGCGCGTTGCGAAAACCATCGAATTAAAAAGTGTTGCAACTTTTTATTGACTGACTATACACATATCAACATATTCATACATATGTTTGCATGTGATGTATTGCTGGATTCGGAGTGATCCCGATTGATCACGGCTCGATTGGACACCACCAATGACAGCGACCGATGCTTAGGAGCTTTGTAGTCTCAAGCGCTGTGAGTGGCT